TAATACCTTGGATTATAAATTTTCATTGCCTGCTTCTGCCAAAATTACTAGCCTACTTTATAAAGAATTTACTGTTTTAACGAGAAAACTTCGTGAATTCATATCTAAAGGCAGGCGCTTCACATATGCCTTGATGGCTGGACTAAAAAAGGTCTTACTGCGTCCTTTTTAGGAATTTCGGTTTGTTTTTTTCACTTCAAATCCGAAAAACCAATACATGCTCTGCTTAATTTGCATCTTGTGAAACATCCACATACAGGTGAACAAATTGCTAATTGTTTTAAAAAATGCCTAAAATATTGAAATATTTCCAGAGAAAAAATATTGCTTGTTATTTCGGAAATGGAGCAAACATGGTCAAAGGCATAAAGTTGTCGAGAATGAAAGCTCAAGCTGAACGTGATATACTTATTGAATTAGAAAGTGAGGTTAAAGAAGAGCAGATAACAGATCTGGAAGACGATGAGAATATGATAAATAGTAAAGAGTGGGAACATGTTGACTTGATAGTTGATGTAATAGAAAACGTAGCATTTAGAAGATTGGGATGCATTGCACATGTTATACTAGTTGTAAAACTTGCATATAATGGTAAATATCATGGCTTACTTTTAAAGGTACGTGGATTAGTGGGAAAAGTTCGCAAATCTTCTGTTGCATTGGAAAAAATTATCAACAAATGTGGTAAGACTGTGATCAGCGACTATTCTACAAGATGGAACAGCACTTACTTTATGGTTCGGAGATTTCTGGAAATAAAGACATCTATCAACGAAGTGCTTGGAGACCTTAACATTGATTCACTTGCCGATAGCGAATGGATAATGCTTCAGGATTTTGTCAATCTTTTAGAACCTTTTGCCAATAAAACTGATATTCTTCAGACGGATGCACTTTCACTATCCAGTGTTATACTTTCAATACTTAACTTAGAATATCACCTTGAGCAATTTGGAGATGCCAAAGATGTAGCAGTTAAAATGCTTGAAGATCTACGCCGTCGTTTTGCCGTTCTTTTGCAGCCAAACGATCCTAATTTTAATCCACTGCCATGTGCCGCATGTCTACTTGACCCCACATGGGCAATAGCTCTTTTAGATAATGAGCATACACAAATCAGAGAGTGTGCAAAGAAATACATTTTGTCAGAGGCCAAAAAATCGGTGCAACATAATTTACCTTTAGCAAGTGCATCTACTCTTTCTGTTGAGATTGCTCCAGAAATAAATGGATTAACAAAATGGAAATTTTTAGCGGCAAAACACCGAGTAGAAAAAATAAAGCTTATTCCAGGTAATGAAGCACAAAATGAACTCAACAAATATTTTATTGAAATAAAGAACAGCTCTATGTGCCAAAATGCTTTAAATTTCTGGAAGATGAGACGTGCTGTTTACCCACATATTGCACCATTAGCTGAAGACCTCATTGCAGCTCCTGCAACTCAAGCATATGTTGAAAGACTTTTTTCAATCTGCGGCTTGCTCACAAATGGACGACGAAATCGAATGTCAGCGTCATTGGAAATGCGAGTTTTCTTAAAACTAAATTCTCATCTAGTCTAGATGATAATCATATAATCACTAGGCCCTTTATTTGTAAAATATATGAGTAATTATTAAAGTCTATACAATAACTATTCATTAGTTTTTATTGTTACCAAATTTGAGGAGTTTTTTTTATACCTAATAATTGAAATTTTTTTAAGTTTTAGAGCAACAAGGACAGGTTGTTGTTGTGTTTTTTATTCTAGCCATGGGACTGGGTGTATTACATTTAATTAAGTTCTCATTATATATGCCTATATTATTTATAAATTATACTAAATTATAATTAGATGAGATAAAAAATTTATACGACAAACGAAAATTGAACTAAATAAAAACTAAAACTAAAATTATTTTAAGATGAACTGAATAAAAACTAGAACTAAATTTATTTACTGAACTGAATAAGAACTAGAACTAAAAACTTTGCCTCTAAACTGAATAAAAACTAAAACTAAAATTATTTTCCGAACAAAAATATCACTGGTATTATGAGGCGAAATAGAAAACATAAACTGACATTTTTTCAAAATTTCAGAAAATTCTTCAATGTTTTTACAAAGTTTAAAAATATTAACTCATTTTTAATACAAAAGCATTTTCAACTTTTTCCATTTCGTCGTTTTATTAATTGTTACTCTTTTTTTACAATACTCATTTGACTAAAGAGTAGTAAACCATTTAATTTAAACCCTCTATCCTGGTGAAACTAAGTAACTTTGACATTTATCCATGCATGTACTTCTAAAAGTAACATCTATGAATATGCGGTTATGCCTGATACTGTTTCCTTCCACATATATAAAAATATACGGTTATTTTTATTTGCGGTGCTTCGCAATTAAAATTTGACATATTAACTTGTAATATTTTATAGTGTGATCCTTTTGGTGATATCTTTGTTGTAAATGCATCCTCGCATTCGTATTTTAATGCGCATTTAAATAAATGCACATTTAAAGTATATAAAAAAATGCATGCAATGTAATTAAATACGTATTTAGTATATAAAGCCTTTTTTTGTCAAAAAAAGTCTTCACTGATTTTGAAAAGTTAAAGTAGAACATACGAATGTAATAAAATCAAATTTATAAAATTCTATTGCTTAATTTATTTGTAAAGCTCCTGTTTGTTTGCAGTTAATAATGCTTTTAATTATGAGAGGGATAGAAAAGAAAAATGGCATAGCATTTCTTTAATTTAAACTTAATGCATTAAGTACGACAAAGGTTTTTACATTAATAAGAGCAAAATAAAATCATAAGATAAAAAAACATATGTAAAATTAAAGTTAAATTGTTCTAGTATTTTTTTAAAAATTTATATTTATTAAAAAATCTATTATACATTTATATATATATATATATATATATATATATATATATATATATATATATATATATATATATATATATATATATATATATATATATATATATATATATATATATATATATATATATATATAGTATATATATATATATATATATATATATATATATATATATATATATATATATATATATATATATATATATATATATATATATAAATATATATATATATATATACATATATATATATATATATATATATATATATATATATATATATATATATATATATATATATATATATATATATATATATATATATATATATATTTATATATATATATATATATATATATATATATATATATATATATATATATATATATATATATATATATATATATATATATATATATATATATATATATATATATATATATATATATAAAAGATAACACACCAAAACAAATTCATAGCACACCACTTTCTGATAAGATATTACCAGCTATATAAAAAGACACGCAATATTAAAGTATTCTATTGTATGTGATGTGTTGAATGTGATATGTTGTGTGATGTTTTGTATTTGGTGTTTTTTATTTAATGTTTTTTATTTAAAGTTTTGTATGTGATATGTGTATACATATGTAGCTATTGCAATTCATCTTTTGGAAGTACATAAAAAGTATACATTTGTAATTAGCGTTACAGAAATCAAGTAAATAACAATTTGTTTTTTCATTTTTTTTCCACTGATTTATTCTTATTTTCGCATTTTTTTTCTAGCACCTTTTTTTATAAGATTATGCCCTTGTTAAGATGGCACCTCAAAAAGCAAATGTAATTTTTGGAAAAAAAAATTAATAATATTAGATTGTTATTCTTTTGTTCTCAGATTAAAGAAACATTTAATTGATCATTTTAAAATAAAGTTTTAACAATTTGGCATAATGTCTACCAAATCAGTTTTCTTTCCGTAAAAACGCCATAGCAACCGATTTATAAACAAAATACTTCTAAAAAGTTTGCGCGGTAACTTTATAAATAATTATACAAAAGAGCTGAAATCTTGACATTATTTTTCATAGAAATAAAACTCATTTGAGAGAAAGTTTTTGTTTAATGTATTTTAGCTCTAACTTTTCATATTACCTTGTTTGATTCTTGTTTGACTCGCCAAAATTGTTAGAGTTTTGTTAATTTTTTATGCACCGTTTTTAAATTATTCTTTTATTTTTATTTATTATCTATCAAAAAAAATTTGGTATTATATATATATATATATATATATATATATATATATATATATATATATATATATATATATATATATATATATATATATATATATATATATATATATATATATATATATATATATATATATATATATATATATACATATATATATATATATATATATATATATATATATATATATTATATATATATATATATATATATATATATATATATATATATATATATATATATATATATATATATATATATATATATATATATATATATATATATATATATATATATATATATATATATATATAATATGTTACAGATTTCATGATTAAATGGCTGGCAAATTTTTAGTAATCATTTCACAAAAATTTGCTTTTTTTTGACGTTTTAATTGGGTAATCGAGACAAAAAATTTCAAATAAAAAAATGTCTTTTTAAAAACTTTTAATGATATTTTTATGTTTAAAAAATTATGTTTTACTATAGTTCCAGTAAATTTTTTGGGGCACCACTTCAGGTACCACTTCAAGGTAGTACAATACTGTACTGATATGGAGTCATGCAAAACTATTTTTTATTTTGAATATACTCTTCCATAGCATATGTTATACAACAATGAAAATGGCGTTTTACAATTACATGGTTTATCTGACTAAGTTAAAATGTTATTATCTTTTTGTTTATATATATGCATCGCTGTATTAAGAGAGGCTTGGGGCTATAGCCCCAGACTATGCAGTTTTGTGAGCCCCAATGCAATAAAGTGCATTTTATTGTACTATATCGTATTATTGTGGTTTGAGCTAAATTATAATTCTTTATATTTCTAAATATGAAGGAAGGACAAAGGAATTGTTCTCGCTTTATGATACTTTTCTACCTAAAATTATAATTATTTTATTGATAGCAATAAAAAAATTAAATAGATTTTTTCCGTAGTTGCTTAGGAACCGCCAACAAGTTTTTCTTCTCTTTATGATTTTTTATTTTACTGCTCTTTAGTTTTAGTATTTTTAATAAAGAAGTAATCTGATCTTTTGCGTTTTCAAAATTATCCAACCAGTGTTTTACTTCATCTAAATCGCTTTCATTTTCGTACATAGAAGGAAAAAAGTCATTTTGAAGTTTCTTAAACGGTTCTTTATCTTGATGGGTTGAGTGATCAGTTACAAAAATAGAATGACCAGAATATAAGTTTAGGGAAGACACAAGTTTTGGAACAATAGAATCGTCACTAAGAATATTAGTAATCATTGAATCTCTATTTACCGCAGTACAACTGTCGGACTTACTAACAAAAAAGTTATCGTCGTTTTTCTCGAGACTTTCGATATCATAACGAAACGAACTTTTCCGTTTCAACTTTTCGAGAACGTTTTGTCGCTGTTGATTAAGATTAATCAAAGAACTACTCAGATCTTTTTCTTCAAGCTATTAAAAGAAAACTTTAAAGAAAGTTAATTTAGTACATTTTAATTAAAGTTATAACACGTGATTTAATTAAATATAACACGTGACATTTCTGAAATAACGTTTAGTATATGATGTGTTGTTTATTTTTATTTAATATAGGTTAGACAAAAATAATTTTTCATTATTAACAGGATTGTTTAATAAAAACTTCACATTTTTTTTAGTACAAACCACTTACTTCTAAATCTCTTAAATTAAACGAAACACGAAAATTTCTGTTGAATTTACTATGAAATTCAGGGTAAGCACGCATAGTTGATAACAAATCGTCACGTGAAATAGATTGGATGTCACAGTATGATAGTGCACGGACACTTGCGCATGATTTAGCAACAAGGCGATCGTAGACTGCTCCAAAATTTTCTCCGAATGAATCACCTTTTCCTAAAAAATAAAACAACTAAAAAAATATTGGTGAACTGCTAATATTCATACAACATTAAAAAAAAATATAAATATGTTATCGAAAACTTTTGCTAAGCAATGTTCTGTAAAAGAACGTTTTTTTTTCTGTTGAACTTATACCATAAAATGTATGTGCATTCCCGCACAGCAAACAAAGTTTGCACAGTATTGCCTACTATATGTAAACTATATAAACAATATAACGCCAACATTTTTCACTACTCGAGCTGATTTTCATACTAAAAATCTTTTTTTTGGAAGAGTTATTTTAAATTTGTAATTAAAGAATAAAGTTTTTTTTTTTACTAAAAATGGTTTTAAATCTTTGAAACCATATATTTACTAGAAAAGTAAATTATTTAAGCTATTAATAAAATCAAAAGTTTATTTACAATGCTTCATGTCTTTAAATACACCTTTTTTTTATTAAGAATACGGTTACCGTTCTTAGACCTAAATAAAACCCTTCTTTGTTTACTACTCTATTACCGCGACATGTGTTTTCTTTCCATCGTTAAATAGCGTAAAATTAGTTTTTCTTACTTGAAGATTAATTTTCATTTTTCAAACCATTTTGGTTTTTAAGGAATTAAAAAATAATTTCATTATTTTTTAAATATATATATATATATATATATATATATATATATATATATATATATATATATATATATATATATATATATATATATATATATATATATATATATATATATATATATATATATATATATAGCGATCAGGAAAACAGATATCTCAAATAGCAAACTATGCAAACCCCCTGACTTTGCTCAATAAAAGTTTAAAAATCGTAAACGTTTTAATAGTTCATTTAACGCCGTTATTAGTGCACATAACACCGTATTGAATTCATGTAACATTATTTTGACTACATCTATAATAAAAACTGTTTTTAGAAATATGAACCAATTTAAATACCAACGCACTTTCTGAAACTGAACTAAAACTAAAAAATTAAAATTTGAAAGTATAAATAAAATAAAACATAAATAAAGTATAATAAAAAATGTTAATTAAAATTTAATTTATAAATAATTATTCACCTAAAATAGAAACCACTTTTTCCTCTTGTAATATTTCTAACGTGCCTCGTTCTATCCACATCAGTTTAACTACTTCATCTCCGTAATGAATAATGTAGTTACCCGGCGTATATCTTGTTGTTTTTAATTTAAGAGATAAAGAACGTAAGCAACCAGCAGGTAGACTACGAAAAGCTAAATTTTTCGTAAATAAATTTCTGTTTAAATGAAGACAAACATCCGCTTGAAGACCCTCTGGAAAATGCCCCAGTATCTGAAATTCGGAAAAGTTATGTATTAAAAAAAAAAAAATTGACAATTAACAATTAGTGGCTACTTGTTTATAAGACAAGTAAAAAATGTTAGAAATAAATGCACATTTAAAATATAAAATAGGTCACCTCGTTCATATCGATGCCGTTAGTGTACGAATAATCGTAATGCGAGTAATCTTCTAATCGTTGACGCAGTGGTGACGGAATTTGATAAAAACGAATAAATTGCCGAACTCTGCGCATAGTTGAATGATAATGAGCCAAACCTGAATAAAGTCTGTGAATGATTGCCGTGACATTGCCAAATATGACAGCATACATTAGAGCTAAATAAATATTTATTATTTTAAATAACTTTTTTAATTTATTCAAAACTATTGCAATAGTACTAATCATGGTTTTTAATGAGTTTATTTTAGTTAATCACAAGTAAATTTCAATTTAGGCGTGACAATTTCGAATTTAAAAATGCAGCTTTACAATTAGCTGTATTAACCGTTCGTAGAAAAATATAAAAGTGTATTTTAGTTAAGTACAGGGTCGTGTAACGAAATGCATTTACTTAGTAACAATACTTTGTTATTTTTGCAACAAAATACTTCTAAGTTTACTTTTACAGACTTTCTTTTGAAAAATAAAAAAAAAAAACGGTTCAAAAGTACTTGAACTTGACCTTTTTGCATACCATGATTCTATTGGTTGTTAATGATGTAATTTTTTAGCCAATCTGAAATTTTTATGAATTTTTTTAATGAGATAGAGAGTCCAGAATTCTTAGTTTTGATTTACAAAATGTTATAATTCTGCCCAACGCTGAGATCTCAAACTTGCTCTTTCCATGAATAAAGCTATTTACTTTTGTATTTGGTCTGATGGCCAATCTGGTAAATCATGAAATGATAAGAAACCCTTAGACCCAGACACCTATTGCTCTAAAACTGTCTATATAGACCAAAAAAAGTTTTTACTTTCAAAAGAAAAGAAAGAAAATATTTTTAAAAAATTGCCCTAAATGCTTGGATTTAACAGAAATTTTATGAAACTTAAAATTTTATGAAACTCTTTATATTTAGGTAAACGATGTTCCCTTTTCTTATACTTGTTGATTTTTTAATATAGATGTAAACAAATTTTGTTACTTTTGAACGAAATCAAATAATATCTAAAGTACGATTTACAGACATTTAGGTAAATTGTTTAATAAATTCATAATGCGCTCAAAAATATTTATATTTAAAAATAAAAGTGATTTTGGACAAAGTTTTTTATAAAAACAACAATAAAAATTGATATAAAACATTATACACTTTTAGCGTTTTTAAAATTTGTCACAATTTTGTTCCATCTCAAAAGTGATTATTGTATTCCATCTTGAAAACTCTAATCACAAAATACACAATAATTTTTTAAAAAGGTTTATAACTTTATAACATATTGATCTTAACAACTTTTTTAAAAGAAAATTTAATCAAAACTTGATCTTGAATATATTTTGGTCTTCTAAAGTTTTAATCGCGTTTTTGTCAAAATCGTATTTTAGTGACATAGAACAAGATAATACAGGACTAACTCCTTGCCCACATACTCTAGAGCATGACGTAGTTTATGAACGACCCCTGCCCCCCCTATATTAAAAGCTGATCACTACCTCCAATAAGCATGATAAGTATTGCAAATAACTTTTCCCCGTTTGTATTTGCGGAGACGTTTCCGAAACCAACACTAGTTAAGCTGCTCAAAGTAAAATACAATGCTGTTAGATAAGCAGTTGTCACATCAAGCTTTCCCGTTTCATTTAAATTCAAATCCTTACTGAGCTTTGATAACCAATCAACATTATTATATGTAGGGCTTTCATTAATTCCAATAGCATACCAAATACACGCTAACCAGTGAGCCATCAATGCAAAACCAAACACAAGAAGTAATAACAATGCTAAATTATACTCCGAATACATGTCCAGTTTGCGTGTTACTCGAATTAATCGAAGCAAACGTGCCGATTTACCCAAACTGATCAAAACAGTTGTCTAAGAATGTGAGAAAATTTTAGTTTAAGTTTAGTAGTAGATTAACACATAACCTTTTACATAATATTTCTATTTATATAACGTTGGTTCATTTTAAAAATATGAAAATTAAACATTAATGGTATTTTATAAGTATACATTTATATAAATGTATACCAATAGTATATATATTTATTTGAGCGTATATATAAAATTATATAAATAAATGTTTTTGTATAAATAAAAAATTTAAATGTAACCCCATTTGTGACTGTATTAACTAACAACAAATTTATTGTATTAACAAAATATATACTAAATTAATCAACAAAGTACATAATAAATTATATATATAAAAAAAATAATAATAATAATATAAAATATGGTTTCACAGGGATCATACTTTTCAAAAAATTTAAGTTTTAGATAAATGATGAGGTTTCTTTGAACTAATGACAAATAGTAGAACCAATTAGAAAAAAAATTACTCATTAATTTTCCAAATAACATTTGGTCACAATTCTCATTTGAACTGGTAAACAACATCAGGTTGTTTATATATAAAATTTTATCAATTAGCGGTAAAAACTTTTATCTAAAAAAAAAGAAAAAAAATCTTATAATATAATGTAAGCTATTTTTCTTCTTAACATTGCCCAGAAGGACGTTATGTGGCCAAAAAAAAAATTTTAATTTTTTGTTTGAGGAGGAGGAGGGGGGGATTTTTATGTCGGATTTAAAAGCATGAAAAAAAAAATTCAATATCAATATGTTAAAAAACCAAAACTTTAAAAATTTTAATAATGAGTTATTTAGGGTTAAATTTTTGGTCAAAAGTAATTTTATGTATAATGTTCCAACCAATTTATATTGATATGAAAAACTTATAATACTTTTCCAGACAGACTTTTCCATTTATAGAAAGACATATATCTATTTATGGAAAGACATATATCTATTTATGGAAAGACATATATCTATTTATGGAAAGACATATATCTATTTATAGAAAGACATATATCTATTTATGGAAAGACATATATCTATTTATGGAAAGACATATATCTATTTATGGAAAGACATATATCTATTTATAGAAAGACATATATCTATTTATGGAAAGACATATATCTATTTATGGAAAGACATATATCTATTTATGGAAATGTCTTTGAGACTAATTTTAGATTTAGTTAAGGTTTATAAAAAAAATTTGAATGTAGTTGTGAAAGTTGGGCCGAAATATGAAAAACATTGAAAAATGTATAGTAAACCTTTTTGAAATTTTAAAACTGATATACAACTGTTTACACGGTGGTCTCAGCATTTATTTATTGAAAAATTTAGTAAAATTTGTTGCTTCACCTTTCGAAATTTAAAAAAAAAAAAATTTTGTGTGCGACTCGAGGTCTTTTTTATTATGCCTTTTCTGTATTTTTATTTAGTGACGGTTTTTTTGATAATTTCAAACATTTTCAAAACTCTACATTAAGGTAAGGTCATGCTTATGTCGAACAAGAATACTTTTTAAAAAATAAGATAATTGGAACCAGGGAACAAAAGTGCTCCGACAAGCTTTTTGAGGGCGCTTAAAGACATGGTGCAAGCTCTAAGCTTAACTATGTTTAGGTCAAATGAGATATTTTACAAAAAACTGTGGTATTGAAGTCTAAAATCAAAAATATTATTAAAAGAAATATGAGGGAAATGAGTTAACAAACTTGTTGGGTGAGTTATTTAGAAAATTTTTGTTCCCAGGCTTGATAATGATAAATGAAAAAATTTTTTAGTGAAAGTATTTAGAATTTTTTTGTAATTTTGTCTTAAAAATTATTTGTTTGACCTTTTTAAAGAAGCATAGATAGAACCGTAGCAAAAATGGCTTCCCTAAATAGTTTTTAGGACCAGTTTGTTATAACAGATTTAAAAAATACGTATAACAAAATTATTTGTTATACGTAAAAAACATTTTAGGTATAAGTAATTTCACTTTTAGATTATTTTTGTTTAACATTTAATAGAAAATTCCTAATTTTAGACAAAATTTTGTATTTTAAACCAAACTCCACCTCCTCCCCTCAACCTTAAAATAAAATCTTATGAGCATACTACAAAACTGAATTTCTCTGAAAGTATAAGCATACTGCAAAACTGAGTTTCTCTGAAACTACGGCTAAAAATTTTGTGAAGCTTTTTAAAAAGTAAAAATATTTTTTAAAATTATAAAAAAATTTTTAAAATGAAAAAAAAAAAAAAAAGATTTTTTTAAATCGTTAAAGTATTTGCAAGTATTGAAAATTGATTTCTGACAGAAATTTTTTGAAATGATTTCTGACGGAAACTTTTGTCGAAAATTTTATGGAAAGACCAATATCTGGCGGAGTTAAGATTACTAAAATCTGCATTAGTTTAATACATAAAAATTTTGTAATTATGCAATCAGATTCAATGTGAGAACCATAAACTCAACGAAGAAAGCAGTTTATGTTATATTCCATTACTTCACCGATTCATTTTATTCCTATGGCCGCCACCAGTTTTGTTCTTGCGAAACATATAGTGGACGTGAGCACTGGGCTTATGGGGCTCAAGCGCCAGAGATTTTATGTGTGTTTTAGGACATGGTAATGGTAAGTTTACAATTTCAGACATTTTAGCAACTTGTGAAATTAAAGAAAGTATTATTCGAACAAACAACAAGTCATCGGAAAAGGAAAAAAAAAATAAAATAAAATAAAAAAAAAACGAAAAAGAAAACCTAAATGAAGAGAAAACCGAGGCGTTTAATGTCTGCGTCTGATGGATTTCAAATATTTTTTTCAATAATATATTTTTACATAATAATATTTATTTAGTTATATACTTTTTTAAATCTCTTTTTTTTTGTTCAAGTTTTTCAAGTTTTCATTTTCATTTCTCTTTCTTTCTAAAATTTTCAGTTCATTCTCAATCTATTAAATATTGAAGTATAAAATTAATTTAACAGGTAATTTTTTTTTAATCTATAAATGTTTAATAATTTGTTCAGATCTCTGCATAATGTCAAAAAAATTTTGAAAATTAAAGAATACATCATCTTCCTTCAGGTAGTGCTTCTTACACGTCAAATATAAGTATTTTTAATTTTATTTCAAGTGCAAGTACATTCACATCTTTTTGAGAAATATTTGCTATCACGCTGTAAGTACTGGTATAAGCAATGTGTTTCAATGAAGAGATTTTTCAAAACGTAATATCTCGCATGCAGATTTTATACTATTATTATAAAATTAATAATTTTATGTTTCTTGAAACAAGACTTGTCTTTTGTATACTATTTGCTTTTTTGATTTCTATAGGGTTAATGAAATAATCAATTTGAACTTCTTCCTAACAAAATTATTTGTTATACGTAAAAATGTTTATAAATTCATTTTGTGTTTTACAAAGAATTATCTTCTAAAGATTCAAAAAATGGTGCATGAAGGAATAAATATCAAGATATCAGTTGTTAATGTTACACATTAATGTTACACATTAAAACTCATCAAAATTTCTGTAAAAGACAACTTTGTGTAACTGCTTCTGTAATAAACAACTTTATTACTAATTCCTTTGACAGAACTTGAAGCCCATGACAAAAATGACACCCAGGTAGAAAATCTGATAAGTTCTAGCAATTTCCTTAGTTTGGACCTGTCTGGAGTTTAGTCTTACTTCATGACTAAGATAACTAATAAAAATCTCACAATTTCACCTTTGTGCAATAGTAAGAGGCCAAGTTAATTAATCAGAAGCAAGAAAAAAACTAAAATAAGCCTAAAAATTTGAAAATAATTTTTCGTAGATATAGTTTCCGGGTTGGTAATTTTTAAACTCTTTAAATGAATCCGGATTTACAATTTTTCGGGTTTATAATTTTCGGGGTTTATAATTTTTGGGGTTCATAATTTTCCTGGTATTAAATTTTCCGAATTTTTAATTTTCTGGATTTAATATTTTCCTATCATTTTTGTTCAAATGACAACTGATCAGAGAAAACCAGTCAGCTCCACAAAGCCAATTGTTGAACTTTTTTTTGCGTGGCTTTTTTGAAGAAAACCCCTATAATGAATAAATATTGACCGCATTCAATTAATAATGTCAGACGATCCAAAACAATCAATTACATTTATTTACCATATTTTAAATCAATAAGCCTCTTTTTAAATTGAGCAATTTTTTGAAGCAATATACAATAAAAAAATTTTAATTACCTGATTAATTCCTAGCATCATGCATATTAACTGAAAAGGGAAAGCTGCTAAGAAATCAAAAACAAACCATCCCTTTAAATAGTTTACAGCAATTCGACAAGGATCGTTAACAACCTACAAATTAAATAGCATTTTAAACTATATGTAATTATAGTAACATTATACAAAGTATAGTAACATCATAGTGTGACTAAATACCTCGTCGTTTGCATCCACAAAAGAGGTTCGACAGTTCATAAGTATATCAATGACAAAAATAAAGTCAATAAAATTATCAATAATGGTTAGCGATCTGTTTGAACCTAATAAAAATGTCACCATGTAAGGCGTCACAATTGCTGTATACATAACCAATAGTAAAATAAACCAATCCCAAATTGCTTTGTATCCAGAGTAATGAAGAATTATATACGAATAGTTCTTGTCTTGATTACATTTAATTTGTGGTAAAACATCTGATCCCAATGACATTACCTAAAATTGAACGTTGGTGTAACTTCAAATTAAAAATGATCATTTAAATTTATTAAATTTTGTTACTAGATAGATTGGTATTTAAATTTTAACCTTAAATACAGACATTGTTGAACGTAACAGAGTATGCGACATGACTCGAGATCTTCGGTATACTCTATTCCATTTATTAATTTTTCTTCTTTCAGCCAACATGTTTGACTTTATTCAACGCTCGATCTTATGATGGAAGGATTTTAATTCTAATATTATTATAAAATAATCAATCATAAGAATCATAAAAAAAATAACTAAAAAAGAATCAATTCTGTCAACAACGTAATATTATTAACTATTTAATTGATAATTATGAATTTAACTTATAATGCGTAAAACTAAGAACAATTTTTTAAAGTAAAAAGAAAATATTTAAATTATATATTTATATATTGGAGATTAAAAAAGGCAACGTGTTAGCAATAAAATGATTTAAAGGTCACAAAAAATACGCAATAGAAAAATTATTGAGCATTTATATTTCTTTTGTTTTGAATAACAATAAACTTTATTAATTAATTCCTTCACTGACTTTTTCATTAAATACGAAAGACTTTTGACTTCAATGTGCAGTATGCAAAAAGTTACACACTATTATAAAATTTAAAATATTTTTTAGTCTCTGTATATTTTCGTTTATCCTAAAGATGAATCAATTTAAATAATGATTTGAAAAACAGTTAACGTTTTGTACTTGTAACCTTTGTACTTTTATGAAACTAAAATTATGCAGTTAATTATTTTAACTTGCATGAATAAAATACAAAAATTAAGCAAAATTCTTAGAAAATTGCTTGTAATATATAAAAAACAAGTTGATAAATTATTAATTAATTAAAATGAATCAATAAAAAAAACTATTTTAACAATCTCTTCATAAAAGCTATTACATACTTCAGACAATGCAAACTTAGTTTGCAACTCCTTGTTCAAAGCGTTTTTATGATTTATAACACTAATTTGCGAATCAAGATTGTCTAGTAAGAAGGAGGGTGAAGGAAGAGGGGTATTTTTGAAGAGAGATTTAGGAAAAGTTTAACTATACTTAATTCTAATCTAATGATGTATATAAATGCTGATGATTCATATTTGTTTAATATATTATAATTAATTTTTACTTATTGCTCTCGCATAATAGATAATTAGCAATAATTGAATTAGTCAACATTTCCGAATTGTTCAGATGAAACTATCATAAAATATGGATTAAACTAAATGTATTCCTTTTCATCTTTCTAGTAAAAATTGTTAATACAAATATGCTTTTTGTCATTATTGTGCTTGTTAAAAGAGTTTTAAATTCAAAATTTTTAGATTTTAGAGGCAATTTTACGGGTGTGTGTGTGTGTGTGTGTGTGTGTGTGTGTGTGTATAAGTATAACTTGAGAATCATCATTTTGGGGGTCTTTCACAATGCAAAACCCCTCCCACCCTTTAGAAGGTGATTTTCAAGTTAGAGTCGGTTTTTTTACAAGTTTAGTCGGGTATTTGACACAATTCAGTTGAGTAAATTTATTTTTTGAGGACGTTTTTTTTTTTTAGTTAGTTATTTTAGGTGCCCCAAGCGCTTTCTTCCTTACTGAGGTTATATAACTTCCCCAGAGGTAGCGATGAACCTCGGGTCTCTAGTTTCTGAGGCAAGCAAACTAACTACTGCATCACGGCTGCTCAAAATTTGAAAGTGTGCCTATTGGCAGGGTTTTGCATTTTACATCACAAAATACATCATTAATTTTATTTAAAAGTTTTAAGAATGTGTTAAACATCGCATTAGCTTTAGACAAAACACATGTCTCCAAAAAGATAACGCTTGTTTTTTGAATTATTTATAGAAACTAAGCAAAATTAAACAATCAAATATATAATTTTTATAGTTTTCGATGTTGACATATTTTTTTAATAAAATTGCTCCATTTTTAAATAAATTTAAACAAAACATTTTAATGTTACAATGGTATTTAATTTATATTTATATTTAATTATACTTAATAAAATTTATTCAAAACAATCTTTATTTTAGTATATTTTTAGTTTCACCTATTAATCAGTTTCATTATTTTTTGTGTAAAATTTTTCCTTGAAAACTTTTTTTTAATAAGAAATCGTCCATAAAATTCGGGCGTTTCTGAGATAAGGGGGCAGTAGGTCAATTATAAAAGTATGGAGACACTAAATTGAAAAAAATATCATAAAATGTTGGGTTAGTAGGTTAAAAGCGTAGGTACTTTTAGGGAGGTAAAGAGTACTCAAAAAAGCGCACGGCAAATTGTGGAGGATGGGGGTTGGCGAAAAAAAAGCGTTCGTATTTTATGGACGACCCCTAATTGGTTGGTCATCACATCTTATGTATAGGTTATCACATCAAATGCCTAGTTATCATATCTAGCATTAATTTAGTGAAAGTTATTATATATTGTTAAGTATTAAAAATAAATTTTTAATACTTATCAAATAAAACACTTCGAGGTTTTATTCAAACATTTAGAAAACAACATATAATTGTTTAAAACTAGACTTTTATATAGTTATTTTTATTCTTTAACTTATAGTAAGGTTCTAAACCAGCTCATTATTTTAATTTAATTTTCCAGTCTATTTGTGTGCTTCCTTACCTACTCATTGTTAGTACCTAGTTAATGACGATTATTTCATATATCCACACAATATATGACTTTATTATATACTGGTGGGTTCACATTAAAGATTACTGCATAACAACATTTGCATGCAACTTATTTTGTGATTTGACCATTTTGTACTCAGCTTTTATTTTTTTTGTTTAATATTTATTTTTTTTTATTTTTTTTTTGTCTTTCTATTTTTATAATTTTCTCTTAAGTTGATAATTTTTTTCTTATATTTTTTTCTTCATTTTTGAATTAACTATCAAGAAAAGAACTATAACCGGTAACCAGTAGTTAAATTTCTTTTTTTAATAAAACTAAATGTAATGTTATATACGTAAAAAAAAACCATTCTGTTTTAGCAAAAATTTTAACACTGAAAACTTGCAACTAAAATGATTTTGCTTTTATTTTAAAAGATATAAGTAACGAATTAACAACATGTTTATAAATGTCTTTAACCAAAACCGAGTTATACCTTGAGTTTTATGTCTCTTCAAAGTTCTTTTACGAGACGAGTACACAGATGAATCTATAGCATCGCATAATTACTATAAGTGTACCGAAGTTTTTGCTTTGAGTCAACAAATCTTGTCAAGTTTTGAACTTCTAAAAAAATCTGTTCAAAAAAATTATATATTTATAAAATAAAAATTTAATATTTAAATATTTGTAAATATTTTTTTTAATATACTTATAAATATTTAATATTGTAAAAGTAAACAAAAAACGAACAATTGCAATGTTTCTTATGCATTTGTTTTTTAAATTTTAAAAAATAAAATCTTTAAAAGTCGTGACAGAATCATCTGCTATATCTAAAGATGTCAAAGGTGAAGAATAAATTAAATTTACAAGAAAACAAAAGAAAAAAAAAAGAAAAAATACCACTCTCTAAAGCTTTAGAAGCGCCTAACATACCAAAGGCAACTCTTCACAAGCGGGTGCACAACAAAGGTTAATCATATAATAGAGGTACAACAACTGTACTAAGAAAGAATTTGTCGATATTTTAGTGCTTATCAATTTAGCGGAATTGGTATTCAGCAAAATATTTTTAGATGTTGTTGCGATAGTCAGAGAAGATTACTTTGTACCGACAACTTATCAAAAAACCAAAAAATAACAACATAACAAATTGCTTCAGTACACCAATTTCTTGAAGCAATTATCTACAATAGCAAATTGCTCAATTAGTGTAATTTTAAAGAATTTAGATTTTTAGGCAATCAAAAGAATTAGCTCATTTACAAGCATTTTCTTATTTTTTTTAACAAGTTTTAAAAAGATAAACTTTTTATAACTGATTGCTTAATATGAAAAAATTTATAATTTTTCAATTGTGTAAACACCATTAAAACACTCTGCCCCTATTCATAGTTTAGAAATCAATATTCTGTCTATACAAAGACTAGTGTTTACAGGGGTGCGCAAAACGTCGACACAAATTCAAAAATGTGAAAAATAAGAGTAGGCAGTGTCGCTGAGAGGGGGGCAAGGAAGACAGTTTGTCCCTGAAGGCGGATATCCAAGGGCGCCAAATGAAAAGAATGTACCTAAAAAAAGAAAAGGTCCTTCATATATAGGTACTTCATCTACAATATAGGAAAGTTTTGATGAATAAAGGCGTCAATCAGAGTTGCTGTCCTAGGTGGTGTGATAAATCTCGGCGGCCCAGAGAGTAGGTTCGAGATTATGTTTTTGTCAAGTTTTCAAACCCATATTTTGGTCAATTTTTCTTTAAGGCTTCAAAATTTTATTAGTTTTTCATTGACTTTATATTTACTATAACTAACCAAATGCAAAATCAGTGGTGGACACATAAATAGCGTGGAAACATGAAAAATTTCTTCATTGAGAAGCTTGACAATTTTCCTTACTTGATGGGCTGGAGGAGAACCCTGTTAAAAAATTGGTTGCTTTTCCTTTATCTTTTTTTTTTCATTTTGGTAACAAATCTTTTTTCTAAAAAATGCAACACAGACTTCTGAACAAAATTTTACCCACTTTGGAAAAAAAACTAGACAAGTTTAAAATACGTCAAACGAGATCCCACCTTAAACCTGTCTCTTTCAAAAAAAAGAGCCAACGATTTTTGTTGTTGAAAACTTGTGACATTTTTTGCACTTCTTGATGTCTTTTAGTGTATGTTTTTGTTAAACTTGTTGGGTTTCATCTAAAGCATCACTAAAGTTAGTTTTGTGTTTTTTTTTTAACTAGTTTTAGGGGCAGATTAACAATATATGTTTGAAGAAGTTACTTCCATACATTAAACTCTAAACATTTATATGTTGGTACTTATGCCAAATTAGAATGCTTTATAATTGCAACGATTGGAGCCTTGCAACCAAAAAGCGTTAAGATTATGGGTACTACTGACCAAAACGTAAAAACAGCAAGTTGACAAAATATATTTTTTACTATTATTAAATCAATTTTTTTTCATTTATAAATTTTAAATTCTATTACCTCTTACGGTTAAACCCTATAAAAATCGTATAGTTACACCTAAATCATATCTTATACAGTTGCAGCTATCAAACTCCACACAGTTGAAGCTAAAATAAAAATTACTTTCATCGATAAATTTTAGATTTTATAATCTCTTACCGTTTAAAAACTATGACCCTTTAAAAATCATATAGTTGCAGCTAAATCATATTTTATACAGTTACAGAAATTAAACTTCATATAGTTACAGCTGAAAAAAATCATTATTTAATGCAGCCGCAGTTGTTAAATGTTTGCATCATCAAGTATTACAATGATATTCTTGGAGCATTATAATGACCAGATTAAAAAAAATTGTATATAAATTTAATGTGTGAATAGATAGAATAAATAAATAATCATAAATAATTTTTTTCACACTTATTTTATTCATACATATATATTAATTTTGTTTAATAGTTAAAATAAATTTAAAAATAATGCGTTTAGTAATGAGCTTCTAGAATAATACTAGTTTTATTAAATTTTAATATTAATTTAATAATGCCTTCACATATTCTACTTAATATGAAATTTTAATTTTATTCTCACAATTTTAGAAAAAAACTCCCTGGGACAAACTCTCACGGAACCAATACCCCAAGAAAAATGTATGTAAAAAAAAAAAAGAAAAAACTATTTTTATTTTTCATTTTTATCTTTATTGCTTTAAATACTTGTGATAAGACTGATAATGAAAAAAAACACTGTATTTTTGTGAAAAAGTATACCATGATTTCTCCTCTTTGTTTTAAGTTTAAACAGCAGTATCTTTTCATGAGTGATTTTCGTTTAATTCAGCGTCATCTGAGCTGCATTACATTTCTGTTACACATATTAAATTAAAATTATTTAAAGTTGCATATCAAGATGCAAGCTGTTACTAAAACTTGAGAAGTTTTTTAAAGTTTTATATATTAAACTGAGTTATATTAATACGACCCTGCTCACAAATTTCTTTTGTTTTGTCGATATAAAAAGAAAATTTGTAAAGAAATTAATTATAATTAATTAAGAAATTAAAATAGTACAGATCAGATTCAATATTAAGTTTTGTAAAAGAAACATTTTTTTTTTGTATATATAGGGAAAAGCGGGGCAACATGGCGAACGTTTTGAAAGCCCTGATTTATCGCAAAACTATCAGTCATGAAGCAATAATACTTTTTCAGTATGCAGATGTTATTTAAATGATTCATAGCCTGCATAAAATTTTAATTTGCAAATATAACAATTTGAAATAAATATTAAAACAAAAAGTTCATAAATTTGTCATCTGGTCACGTGACCGGAGCAAGATGACTTATTATGCATTTTTTGCCCCCAATTTTATAAAATTTCAAAAACTACCAATAACTTTAACTAAAGTAATACAAAATAAAAACAAGTCGCAAAAATCTACTTTTAAAGAAGTTAAACTTGAAGGACACCATCCATTATAAAAAATCGAAACTGAGGAATTTTTTTTTAAGCACAAAAAGTAAGCTTTTGCCTATAAAATTGCGTTAGAAATATTAAAAAAAAACAATTGGTGTTTTAAAATACAAGATGCAAATACAGTTTCGTTTTCGCCCAACTTTAAGATTTTTTGTTGACTTGTTATATGAAAACCCATCTTGCCCCATTCGCCATGTTGCCCCGCATTCATCTATATACTGTTATAATCAGTAATGGACTTAAAGAAGGTAAGGATGATGCGTTTATCATCACAACTTTTTCATAGAGCCCCTTTTGTCAATCATTAAAAAAAACACTTTAATTTTTAAAATAAAATATAAATTTAATAAAGCAAAACTCATTTATTTTTTAGTGAAAAAATTGGAAACAAAAAATATTAAAACAAGTAAGAAGAAAAAAAAAAGAAAAAAAATAAAAAACTTAAAAATATGAAAACAAATACTGTAAAATATAATTTATATGTCAGGAATTAAGTTGATGCATTTTAGTTTGGGGGCATCCATAAAGTGCTTCCTTCCCCCTATACCTGCGTTCATACTTTATGGATGACCCTTTGACGTTTAAGCGATGAAATTCTTTTTTGGTCTTTTATATTTTTATTTTGGAAATAAGTCCATATATTGATGGACCACGGTTTGTAGTTAGAAAACTCGACTGCTATGATTTAATTTACATAGATCATCCGTATATATAAGGAAAAGTAGTGGCCCAAAAATAGACCTTTGATGCAATCCACAAGAAATCCACAAAAAATGTTTGTTTATTGTTTCCATAATATATCGAATGCGTCCGTTTACTTAGATAGTCTGATATCCACCTGTTTAATATGCCTTTTATATCATTTATTTTAAATATTTTTACAAATACTTTGTGATCTACTGTATTAAACATGTTGAAGGGTCGATAAATAATCCCAAATTAAATTCTCCGTTTAGAAAATATTTTTTTATTTCATGAATTAAATACAGTATTGTACGTTTAATTGAAGTGTTTTTTTTGAAATTAAAACTGCTTTGAATAAAATAAAGCCTTATGTCAAAAAAAGGTATGTTATCTATTAAACTCTAGTCGCTCAAAAATCTTAGAAAAAATAGAAAGTATTCATATTGTTCTTTAATTACCAATAAAGGTTTCATCGCCTAATTTAGATATAGGTTTAGATTTTGCTGCTTTAAGTTTTTTAGGGAAAACAACCACTTTCAATGAACATTTATAAATTTTAAATAAAGGCACTTTTAATTCGAAATAATAGTCAATTACGATGTTGTCAATTACGATGTTGCTATTTACGTCATCAATTAAAGGAGATTTGTTTCGTTTTAATCTTCTAAAAGCTGTTACTAGTTCTTTAAATGTTAGTTCCTCATTTTTAAATTTATTTTAATGAACTAGAGGTATTCCTTAAATGATTAATTTATATTGGGAATTGTTGCTGCTAGTTTAAAAACCATATTCACACAATTGTAAGTTCATTGTTTTTAATTACCTTACTCTAGACAGCCCACTGTCTAGTGTTAGATCATGGTAAAACAATACCCTGTCCTACATTTACCTATTTGTTATTTCTCCTTTAAATATTAATGATACATTAATGAAAGATAAAATAAATTTATAAAAAACTACGCGTCAAATTTTTGGAAAACAAACGTTATCTATTTGTTATTTTTCAATCAAATTA